CCTACTCTTTGTGGGGAGATTAGCGTTACTTTAACACTATATTCTTATGCTGTTTTACAGAGTAAAAGAAAGAGTACCGAAGCAGAAATCTAAAAAAAAATAACTTCTAATTCATCGATATTCGATGACACTGACCCTGGAGTTGCATGTGTTCAAGAACCTCAAGAAATTAAAACCAAACTGCAGGAAGTGGCCATATCATGTGAAAGAGGATTCTCTCAGATAAACCTCATATTAACTTCAACTATATCAGCTGTTCTCAATGTGCGGATCGAGACCATATTTGGAGTCGAACGACCCTTTAACAAGGGTCACCAAGACCATCAGAAAACACATATTCTTAAAGTTATAAAGGAAAATAATTATTTGAGGGTCGCCACACCACGGGGGAACTGTTTTAAGGTCGCGAGTTAGCAAGGTTGAGAGCCACTAAACTAGATTATCTCTCATTGTACACATAACTTCTGCACTGCCGTTCATCGGGACGGTTAGTCCTCCTCTTATTCAGTTCATTTCTTCAAAAGACTTGAAATCATTGAAGCCAGGACATCATCGTTTTACAGTGGATACCAAAAGCAAAAAGCGGCTTATAAAAGACTAGGGTTTGTCAGAGAATGTGTTAAAAGTGCGGACGCTGCTGTAATACACGCCGGCGCCTTCATTTATTATTTTTTTAAGCAACCCCAAAAAAAAAAAAAACTTTTTATATCTATATTCGGTTTACGTAACGTTAGTCTACCCACGCCCCGCCCATATAAATACTAGCTCACTTCTGATTGGTAATTCCTGAGCCTGTCACCTTGCCACAAGTTTGCAGGGGTGTTCCTCAATGCCGTTGACATCACGTGTTTTTTTTTTTTTTTTTTTTTTAGCATGCCAGCGCTTTTAACACTCCAAAAACATGGAGAAACTAGCCCTAGCATAAACCCCCCGTGCGCCCCCCCCCCCACCTCCTTAGAGGGTGCTGCAACTTATGTCAACTTACTTTCTCAGAATGAAAACGTAAATGCAAGACAACACAGAAAGCAAACAATAGAACTGGACACACCTGTACCCTGCAGGAAAGTCGAAAAGCCCAACAAACTTGTGAATGAAAAGTGACCTACTCTTTGTGGGGAGATTAACGTTACTTTAACACTATATTCTTATGCTGTTTTACAGCTACGTTTCGCAGTAAGAGCGGACGCCCGTGTGCATTGTTGCGCACGTAAAAAGTCCCTTGGCAGTTGAAAATCGAAAAAAAAAATAGCCCAGGCAAAAATTTGGAGTTAAAAATCTACACAAAGTATTTCAGGATCCTCGCCGGCGCTGCAGAGCCTGTGCACTGTGCTGAGATTCTTCGGACTCCGACTTGAGTTAAAAGATGAACGGGGCACTTATAGGTACTTATGACATTTCTGTGCCTTGATGTTGATCCGTTGTTCAAACCTCAAAACGTAAATGCAAAAGTTCCCAAGTTAACTATTAGACGAATAATTGGGATCCCTACCGGAGAGTGCTTAACTAATACAGTTCACATAGCCACATCGTACAACCACCACCGATAGCAATCAACAGCCAATCACATCAACAATATGGGAAGAGTCATCTCTGTAATCGTAAGTAATGGACCCTTTTCCACGCCTTAAGGCGTATGGGGCAAATAGGGCTAGACATATATTTTTAAAGACCAATCGGCACAAGATGAGTGGTGTGGACAGCATCACGTCAGCCGCCTTTATTTCCTAGGACTGCACCTGGTGCCCACGGACTCAAGTCTGCAATCGTGCAACAGTCTATTTACGAAACACAGACGAAACACGGTATGACGATGGAGATAAACTGGTGATTGCCGAACTACTGTCCGTCTAGTGCTTCGCGATTCCCACTGGTATACTTCCAATGCTGTTTTATATATATATATATATATATATATATATATATATATATATATATATATATATATATATATATATATATATAGATCATCAAGTTTCAAAGGATTTACAACAGACTTCGAAGAGGGACACAGACCACAATGAAAAGTAAGGCGAGTATTTGGGTAATATACAATATGCTGTATCCTGAAATAACTAAACAGATTTTCTTCCTCCGTTCAGACCAAACTAATTGATACAATAATTTAGTTCAAATGGACATTTTTTTTATCAAATCTGCGCTTAGCCTTAGATAACTCCGCGTTAAAAAAAAAAGAGGGGGGGGGGTGGAATTAGACGACAAGAAAGCGACGGAAGTGGGGGGAGGAAAAGGGGGGGGGGGGTCCTATTTTGTACCTGGGAGCCACTCCTATCAAAGCTGGTTCTGACTGAAACCCACCTTAAAATAATATAAGCTGAATGAACTAACCAGAACTTAAATTTAACAAATATGTAAATCCTTTGAAGTGACAAAACCAGTCCCCTTGAAGATGTCTATGGCCTCAACTTGTTTCAAGAACTGAGCGTTTGAAAACTGCATCATATTCTCCTGAGTCTTTTAAAACAATCCGAGAGGTATTCCCCACGTTTTATGTCTGACATTTCATTGTAGAAGTTGCATTTTTAGGAGCCAGACGTTCATCTCTGGTTCCACCAGGTGAAGATTGGTTCCGTGTGGCTTGGATCTGTCAAATGTTTCACTCGTTTGGGAAATTCCAGATCAAGTAATGTTACCGAGATACAGGAGTGAATGTAAAATCTCGTCTTCCATCTCTCTACTTTTTTCTTTCCTTTTCTTTCTTTCTTTCTTTCTTTCTTTCTTTCTTTCTTTCTTTCTTTCTTTCTTTCTTTCTTTCTTTCTTTCTTTCTTTCTTTCTTTCTTTCTTTCTTTCTTTCTTTCTTTCTTTCTTTCTTTCTTTCTTTCTTTCTTTCTTTCTTTCTGTCGATCTATATGTCTGTTTGTCCTCCTTAACCTCCTCCTCTGCCTTCTTCTTCTTCTTCTTCTTCTTCTTCTTCTTCTTCTTCTTCTTCTTCTTCTTCTTCTTCTTCTTCTTTTTGTTCTTCTTCCTATTGTTCTTGTTCTTCTTTTTCTCATCCTCCTTCTTCTTCTTAGTAAAAAATGTTAAGCTCGCGCAGACGTAAAAATGACAGTTTAAAAATGGACGCCCCATATTTTACATGCACAAAAGAGGAGGGGGCAGTTTTCTCTTTTTTTTTTTGCAAAAAAAAAAAAAAAAACTTTCATTTGGTGAAGCCTAAAAACATTCATCGGTAAATGAAAGTCCAGTTTGGACATTGCTAATTTGATCAACTGTTTTCTGTATGAGACCTTCAACAGCTGCTATCGACTCTGGGGGTTACTACTCTGTATGCCTGATCTGGTCGTAAACAGTCTGCCACATAATTCACGCCGTTTTGAAACTTCCTGTTCCGGTATAGAGCATGTATGATGCCCATGTGGATCCATTTATTTCACGCCCCTTCTTCCCAGAGTAAAGCTTTAGATTTGTTAATAGTTTACATACTACCGTCAGTAGGTTGTGGAGTTAGGTACTTGAGTTTTACACTGTGTTAAATTGTGTTCACGTTTTTTAAACTGATTTGAATACACAAAAGATCCGCCAAATAAGCACATTGAAAATCTGATGACAAAAATATATCGTAAACACGTGGGAGATAATCACCACAGTTTAATTTTGAATTAAAAAAAAAAATATTTAATATATATACACAAAATTATATCCTAGAAATCTCAGATTTAGTCAGTCTTTTTACTATTAGCTAAATGATGTCATATAATGTGTGCAACTGCACGTAATTCCCATTTAAAAAATTATATAATAGCTTAGTCGTCCCAATGTGGGATGTAATTTTTCGTAATTTGAAGCCACCCCCCCCCCCCCACCCATCGGCTTTTGCCGGGAGCCCTGAATATAGCCTGGCCTTAAATATGGCATAAGGGTTGAACGGGGTTTCGGGAACCTCTCCACGGGTGATCTTCATCCGCATTGTGGCACTTTATGTCACCGAGTTTTTATTGCTTTGTCTGATGTCCTGGTGGGGTACAACTTACATACATACATACATACATACATACATACATACATACATACATACATACATACATACATACATACATACATACATACATACATACATACATGATCCACATTTCAAGGCCTGGCAGCAAGCCTAGTCGGCGTGAACACCCAAGATGATGTTATCAAGCAAGGGTACTATGATCCGTTTCAGAAGTTCTGCTCAACTTTAAAAACCTTTAACTCAGTAACCTTTCGTTGTAAGTTGTTGAAATTTGTTACTTGTTAATAATCATGTCCTCGTAAGAATATTTTGTACCTTTTTAATATCCTACTCCAGATGACGTCACAGGACAGTCCAGCATTTTAAAGGGTGACAAGACTGGGTTTTCCGGCTTTCTGGTGCTTTTACCAACCATAAAATATCTAGAACTGGCCCTAACCCCAACCAACCTACATCCCACGACAGAGTGCAGCCTAGATCCCACAACCGCATGCGGCGTATCCACCACCCCCTGAAAGATTAGACTGCCCGTGACCTGTAGATTTCCCCTATTTGGGGTAGGATATTAATAAAGCACCGAATATTTGTATATGTAAACAAGCATAGTTTTAATTTTTCCCTATTTGCGGTGTGTAGAAAAAAAAACTTATATAGATTCAAAGCAAAAAATCAGGATGCCTACAGTTGAGTAACTGGAACTTTTCAAAAAATCAAATCGCCCGCGTGTGGTCATTTCATCTTCAGCATTAGTCTCCCTTGAGTTGCAGATTTTTCATTATAGGTGGGATAGGCTATCAAAATAATCACCATGCGTCGTTGCACATTCTAACTGATTTCCACACAATCCGTATTCGTGTGTTAATTACTGCTTTCGTGAAATTTTTCAAAATTTGGGAGCACGATTATTGAAACGCATAGCGGTACATTTTCAAACATTCGACTCAAGGACAGAGATCGCTCTCTTGTAACTCCCTTATTTCCCTTGTGGCCCCGCCACTGCAAACAACACAATACACAGAGTAAATGTCAAATCTGACTCACCTAATGTTCCACATGGGTCGTTCTTATAGGTACAAATATCATACCTGTGGATGAAAGGTTGAAACATGTGTACGTGTATAAATAGGACATCACAAATTGGCTTCATTGACGAAATAGTTTTTATGTTCCCTGTAGGAATGCATAGGAAGTATGCAAGCAATATAATAAGTGACGTCCCCGCACTATAAGTATGTGATCAAAAGGGCGAAACAATCGACTTATGATTACTGATTTATAGTCCGTTCCAAAAGTCCGGGGGAACTCTTAAAATCTGTAACTCGACGTGAGTTGTTGAAATTTGGCATGCAGTCTGTAAAGAGTCATGCCCCGGAAGTTTTTTTCTTTCAGATGTAAGCAAACATCTAGATTTGTATTGTGTTTTATTTGCGGAATTTAAAAATACGGACACCGATTCCAAAACAAATCAATCCGCTTGCTTACAATAACTTGAGTAAACTGAGGAGAGGGTACTTTTCAAAACATCAGATTGACGGCGTGTCATATGCGTTTTAATATCACATGGTCATCTCCAGCTAAGTCTCCGGTGAGCTGCGTTTTTTTTTTCACTGAGTGAAGAATAGGCTATAAAAATAATCACCATGGATACGAATAAAGCCAGTCTTACAGGTCATTAAACAACAACAAATGAAGTGGTTTGGACCCTTATCAAAAATGCCCTGGTTCTGTCTACCACAGGAAGCCACATTGAAACGTTACAAAGAGTATAGAGTGAACGGAAGACCTCGGAAAATATGGAGTGATGGCATTTAGTACAGACTTACAGAAGTAAACTTACAGAAATGAACATCAGTCTTAACAGTGATCTTGACAGAGCTCATCAATGAATGTTACATCTATCCCCGACACTTTGCTGAAGTACAAGGTGGAAGAGGAGGAGAAGGAGGAGGAGGAGAAGAAGAAGAAGAAGAAGAAGAAGAAGAAGAAGAAGAAGAAGAAGAAGAAGAAGAAGAAGAAGAAGAAGAAGAAGAAGAAGAAGAAGAAGAAGAAGAAGAAGAAGAAGAAGAAGAAGAAAAAGAAGAAGAAGAAGAAGAAGAAGAAGAAGAAGAAGAAGAAGAAGAAAAAGAACAAGAAGAGGAAGAAAAAGAAGAAGAAAATGTAGGAGGAGTAGAAGAAGAAGAAGAACATTATAGAATCGTAAAGACTTAGAGAAACTAATGCCACCGGAAAAAATTCATGTTGATTGGTATATGATTTTTTGAGGTATTGATGGGCTGAACTCCATGTCAGAAAACGGTAAAGTTACCTGCAACAGAGCGGAGTGGAGGAATCGAATGTGAGCACATTATGACATCTGACGGCACACAAAGGATGTTGGTGTTACTACTAAAAACACAAATACAAACGCAAAAATAAAAAAATAAAAAACAAATAATGAAAAGTTATCCTCGCTTTACATTCCCGAGAAAGGTCTAATGCCTATTAGGATCATGCTGAGAAGGAAGGAGTAGATGTTACTGTTTCAAAAAATTTTTTGGGATGTGAGATTTGGGTCTCTCTCTCTCTCTCTTTCTCTCTCTCTCTCTCCCTCTCTCTCTCTCTCTCTCTCTCTCTCTCTCTCTCTCTCTCTCTCTCTCTCTTAGTTTTTGTGTCTCAAGACATAAAGAAGGTTGAAAGTATAATATATACCAAAATGAACGTATAACAAATTAAACGTATACAGAGGTACCACTGTAGCCTATATTGTTACAAACTGAGCTTGATCCAATAATTTACACACACACACACACACAAACTGTTCGAAAAATGTCTTGATTAGCACTGCATGAGTGATAGAGCTCTCTGTACTAAGCTCGCCAGTTTTAAAAAAAAAAAAATTTAAATGTCTGACATGTGCGGGAGCGCACGACAGGTAATCAACGCATTGTTTGAACAGCGACGCTCACAACAGACTCAGAAAGAAACCTAAGGAAGATGCGACAAGCCTGCTTCATGCAGAGGGGCATGCTTTGCTTCGGTAAAGAGCATTGTCTAGATCTTTTCTCCGGGGTAGACCGGTGTGTTGGGTAGTGAACAGAAGGACAGATTGGCTGAATATGCCCAGCTTGGTGGAATTTTGATGCATGATAAGGTAGACGGTGTTAAGACCGTATGGGAGCACGTGTACAATTCGGAACAGCACACTGATCATCACAGTGTGGAAACTACCAGAGTTGCAAACACTGCTGACACAACTTAGCCTTCAGCGAAGAGTTGTAATGCAGTGGATACTGTCATATTGTGGAGTGCCAGCAATGAGAAAGCTGATCTACAAAAGTGCAGCCGGATGTACCAGTCACATGCCTCTAGAAAAAAAAAGAATCATTAAATCGATCAGGAAACCACCAGCCCCAGCACAAGAAGACTATTTTAAAATGGACAGATCAGAACAAGTCATTATCCTCCGCATCAGAACAGGGCACAACCGATTACCTAACCACATGTACATAAAATTCAAGATAGGCGTATCAACCATGTGCACCCGTGGAAAAATGAGTCTTCTTAGGTTTTGTCTATGTGTATCTGCCAATTCCCAAAACTGCCAATTACTGCCTTTATCGTACCACTTTTGCGGTGTAGGCAGTTGGTCTTTGATCCTGAGGATTTACGGTTATATGGCTAGTGCTGTCGCCGCGACTGTCATCATCATCATCAGTTCTCGTTATGCCTAGTGGCACATGAGGCTTCAGAGAGGACTTTTCATGCTTTCCTGTCCTGTGCAATCTTCGCCGCCACTGTGCAGGTGAGTATTTAATTTGGCCCCGATAGAAACAATCCCCAGCCTTACCTAGGATTCTAACTCGGGTCTCCCGCTTGAGAGCCAATCGTCCTAACCGTTCGGCCACTATGTGCATCAACACAACATATGGTGTTTTGTTATTTATTTTATGTTTGGCCTGAGTATGCACAAGAAGTCTGGTCAAATATTCTGACTCAAAACAGTACACGCAACATCGTTGACAGTGAATTATTGCTGTCTTTTTTCAATGCGATTATTGTACCAAATTGGGTTTCTGCTTTGAAACGATCTGGGGCTGAAAGCTTTAAGTTTAGAGTTTAATTATCATTATCATCACTTCTCTTTACGCCTAGTGACACACGAGGCTTCAGATAGGACTTTTCATGCTTTCCTGTCCTGTGCACTCCTCAGTGCAGTTTTCCATGTCAGTGATGCCACACTCAGGTCACTTTCGATCGTTTGTCGGTATGTTGCTTTTATGGGCCCTTTTTTTTTTCTCTTTCCTTCTGGTATTCATGTGAGAGCTGTTTTGATATATGAGAATTTATTCTCATAACGCGGCCAAGTCATTTTCATCTTCTCTTTGTTATCATACTGTCTAGAGTTTCTTGGTTTGTGACTTAAAGTACTTTAGTGTTTAAGATTGTATCTGGCCAGAAAATTTTGATAATTCTACATAGACATGTGTGGTGGAAGATGGATATCGTGTGTGCATCCTTTTTGGTTAAAGTTTATACAATTTACATATATTAGAGGGAAACAAATTTAAAAAAGGGAAAACAAAGGATTCGTTGTACTGAATGTTATCGACATTATCAAATAAAAATAATAGTACACGAGCCGCCACTGTTGATAATGCAGAAGAGAGATGTATACTCAACTGTAGATATGTTATTTATCTGCATCTACTCTCCCCTCTGTATGCTTCACATCAAAAGATCTTTTCGTCTGGAAAATGGAAACTGGTGCGCTAGTGGTTGCCAAGACTATACGTGTGAGCTGTGTAGAGTGAGGTAGGTACGGCGATTCATCATCATCTTTATGTGGCGCCTTTTATAGGTCCCACTACTTGCAGTCTATTCCTTCTTTCCGTTCTTCTTCTTCCTTCTTCTACTTCTTCTTTTTCTTTTTCTTCTTCTTCTTCTTATTTCTTCTTCTTCTTCTTCTTCTTCTTCTTCTTCTTCTTCTTCTTCTTCTTCTTCTTCTTCTTCTTCTTCTTCTTCTTCTTCTTCTTCTTCCTCTTCTTCATCTTCTTCCTCTTCTTCTTCTTCTTCTTTCTTTCTTTCTTTCTTTCTTTCTTTCTTTCTTTCTTTCTTTCTTTCTTTCTTTCTTTCTTTCTTTCTTTCTTTCTTTCTTTCTTTCTTTCTTTCTTTCTTTCTTTCTTTCTTCTTTTTCTTCTTCTTTTTCTTCATCCTCTTATTCTTCTTCTTCTTATTCTTTTTTCTTCTTCTTCTTCTTCTTCTTCTTCTTCTTCTTCTTCTTCTTCTTCTTCTTCTTCTTCTTCTTCCAATACTACTTTATCTTCTTCTTCTTCATCTTCTTTTTTCTTCTTCTTCTTCTCCTACATACATACACAAATACACACATATATACTCGTACACACACCACGATACCTCACACAGCCAAACATAAACCAAAAAACACGTCTTAAAAGTAATGTAAAGAAATACTGCATGGTGCAGGAAAGCTAAAAACCTCCGCATTGAAAAATAGGGCGTCTGGCGCGCATTCACTTGTGAACAAACTCCAGCAGACGACTGAGGCTAATTATTTTCGCCCGCCCAAAAAAATCTTGTTGATCTGTAATCTGCTTCTGAGAGAGAGAGAGAGAGAGAGAGAGAGAGAGAGAGAGAGAGAGAGAGAGAGAGAGAGAGAGAGAGAGAGAGAGAGGGAGAGGTTTATAAATCTTTCAGGGAATCACAAAATAACAAGGCCTCGTTTAAAGAACAAAGAACCATGTTTGTTCTCTTTTTTCTGATTTTTTTACTGCCTGTTTGCCTTCTTATCTTTGACATAGCTAAAGATGTATTTCCTAAACTGAATCTAACCCTTGCATTAAATAAATGTATCTACTGTTATCATCAGTAGAAATATTTTTAGAAGGTTATATCTTTTAATGAGACTAACCCCTGAACTGTTAAACCTTTTAGCTAATTTAAATCTGACTGTCAGATTTATTCACACGATACGCAACATCTTTCAAATGATTCTGGAGATGTTCAGTTTGTGTATAAAGTCTTTTCAATGATTTGCTGAATTCTCGGCTCTGCGGCTGGTATTATTTTCAAAACACATTTTTCGGTAGTT